GATTTGGAGTGATGGTTGCGGGAGGCCCCATTCTTGGCCTGGAATTCCTCTGATGGAGGAGACTGGGACTCTTCGGTCGCCAAGTCCCGGTTAGGGATGCTTCCACTACTAACTAGATCTCCCATCTCCATCCCCTCAGAAATCTTGAGAGGGTCCTATTTCCTGCTCTTGTAACTCAGAAAACTATCTTTTCATTTTTAAAGAAAATGAAATCTCCTTATCCGGTGATGGTAGCCGTGGAGTATTGGTCAGTCAAGGAGCAATTGAGAGTCCGCTCAATTTTCTATGAAAAAATGGAAGGTGGAATAGTGCAAAGAAAGGGGAGCTTGGGCTCTAAAGGAGAGACCCCAGGGGTGGAGAGGAGTTCACTGCGCAATGAACCCTCTCTGCCGACCACGCAGACAGCTGCCCCCGCCCCACGCACTATTGTCCGGGGTCCGAGCCCCGGGGTCGTGACCCAGCCGAAGGCGACACCGCACCGGGGTGGACGCGGTGTGGAACCCGGAGGAGGAGTCGGGCCGGCGCCGGCCTCTCGCATCTCATCTTTGCGGGTGCTGGCCCCATTTCCCGATCCAATAGATCTCTGCCGCTCCAAGAAGGGGCTCCGAGACCCCGGAATGAAGGCAGCCGCTTTATGCCCCATTTCCCTTGACCCCGGCTTCCAGGGAAGCCAAAGGTGGGAGAGCTGGAACCTGGGGTTGGGTTATTTGGCAGTGCCTCTTACACGCTCGGTTTTAGGGTTTCTCTACCCAGAAGTTCAAATATACTTCCCTCTCACAATTTATGATCCTGGGAAGGGAGGATTAGAAAAGAGGAGTGAGTAGAGGTGAAACTTCTTTGGGCTTGACCCACATACCCCGTCACCACTAGCAGAGCAGACCCCAGAGGACCCTACTCTTAGAGAATCCAGCAATTATTGAGGGGACTGGAAATTTAAAATCGTCCCTTCCTATTTATTAGACTCTGTAACCCTACTCACCCTCAAACATACTCCGAGGCACTTCCCACCCATCCTTGTCTTCCCTGCCTCCTGATTTATCAGCTAGCTGGGCCTGGAGGAACCGGCAAGCAGGAAGGAAGGTGGAGCTGCAGAGGCCCTTACCCCTGCTTGCATGGATGTGGGCTCGCTTCTGGATGAACTCTGTGTTCAAAGAAGCTGACACCAGAGAGAAAAACAGAAAAAATCCTGAGGAGCAGAGGGAGGGCCAGGTCTGAGAAGGAGCCCCTGGACCTGGAGGGCAGCGAACAAACCTTGGTTTCCTCTCTGCTCCCCAAATCCAAAAGGCATTGCAGCCCCTTGTGCTGCACAGGATTTTAGGCGGCTGAGGGACCCCTTCAGGTCTCTGGTTCAAACAGTGCACCCTACCATTTTTAATTCTCAAGAGGCAGCTAAAAATCGGACACCCAAAGTAGCCACATGCTGCAGGAGAAAAATAAAAATGGGGCTAGCGATCCAGGGTGCAGAAAAAGCAGACCGAGGGGAGTGGTCAGTTCTATCAGAAAGATGGGTCAGAGGCAAAGACTTTCTTTTCTACCAAATACCCCAAATGTTTGTTTTGGGCTCCTGCCCAACCAGATAAATCAAGCTAACAGATTAGGAAGTTCATAAAATTGTATTCTTAGGTAATGATATCCGAGAGGTAATAAATATTCGCTCCGCTCTGATGGCCGCTGGAGTTGGGGGAGCTTCCATCTCTTTTTCCAAGCTTGAAGAGGGTTTCTTGAAAGGGGAATATTTTAATTAGAAATAGCTCTCCAAAGGTAGGATGCCAGAGAAAAACTGAGCAGTGGCTTGGTGAGGGCATGCTCCCCCAGGACTGGGCAAAAAGCAGAGAAAAAGATGGTGGAGTTGCCCCAGCCCGCTGCTCCTTCCCATCATAGCACCCTTGATCCTGATCCCCCTTCTCAGTCAGCGTCTCCTAATCTTAGAAAAGCAGACAAGCTGTGCCTAGCAGGGTGTATCCTGGCCCCAAGCTCTGGAGAACCTCTCAATTGTTTTTTTCTTCCTTACCACTCCCCCAAATACACATATACATATACATCTAATAGCAGGAAGATGACTCTGGACCGCAATCCACCAAGTCCATGCATGAAAAAAGCTGATGCACAGATTGCAGAGAAAACTTTGTAGGAAACTTCATACAAACAGCCGTGAGAGACCCTCAGAGAAACCAAGTTCCCCTGCCCTTTCCCCCAGACTCACTTCCTCGGCCCTCTCTCTCTCCTTTTTGAGCCAAGTTTCTTCACTCCCAAGCAGACAAGTCGGCGCAGAAACTCCATTTTCTCCAAGCAGAAGCCTTCCCTCCCCAAGACCGGAGTTGAGATAAAAATTGAATGGCAAACAGAGATAGAGTTTGAAACTGCTATGTTCCTCACCCCCAGAGCAGATCGAGTGCTAACTACTTACATGTCAAGGGGATTTTTGACCTGTGGGGATCTCCTGGTGCTTGGACAGGACCTTGGAAGATTGGTCGTTTCACCACGTCTTCTTTTTATTTGGCCATTGGAGAGAGAGATACAATGCACTAGCAGACATTCATGCGCCTTGCCTCTCCCATTACTCTGGGCAAGAAATCGCCAGCCCCACAAAAGCAGTGGCATCCTATCTGGAGACCAGGGGCTGAGCCAGGGGCTTGGGAGGGTCGGAGATGGGGGTGGGGGAGAGGTCAGAGGCGCTGCGGAATATAAAGGCGATGGGAGAGAAAACGCTGTGTCCTCCCCGTGAACCTGGGCTGCGTTCTCCCCGCCCCCCTCAGCCTTTCCCCCACTGTTCAACCCAACTTCAATAAAAGACCCAGCCCTTGGCCCTTGCTTCCCAGTGAGGCTACAGCAGCAGCGGGGGGGATCAGCAGCAGTGGGGACTAAAACTGCTGGAGCTAGGGGCCCTGGGTCAGGTTGGCTCCCCACACCCCTCAACCTAACCCTTCCAGGAAGCCTGACCCCACTCTGGGTGGTCAGGTCCAAGGCAAAGGAGAGCTTTGGGGAAAGAGGAGAGAGTGGAGCCCACTGGAGGGAAGACCAGAGGCCAAAACCTTCAAAAACTCAAATATAGAGGGGTTTAGCTTGGTTTTATTTGTCAAGAGTTATGGATTTCTGATGTTTCACCTTTTCAGACCAAGAAGGACTGAAAGAGACAGACAGAATGACTATGGGTGTATGTGTGAGAGGAGGAAGGAAAAACTAGAGCCCCTCTTAAAGAAGGGACATAAAAGAACTGTCCCAATCCTTGTACGCTGCTTTGCCTGAGCTAAAGAGTATCCCTTCTGCAAGTTCAGGGAGAAGCTCAAGAAATAAAAGCCAGTGATTTTTCCCCTCCTTGCTTTTACCTCTTCCATTTCTGGGAGGAGAGGAGATAAATTCCCCTAAAACCAAACAAGCAAAGTTAGGAAAGGACTATGGATCTTAGTTTCCTTTTTTCCACCCCTCTTTCTCTTTCCATCTTAGCCTCCTTACAGGCTTGGAAAGACACCCAGGTCCACCCTTCAGACCTTCCTTCCCTTCTTCCAAGCACAAAAAGACCCTCTCTTTCTGCCCTAAAGTCAACTGCCTCAAGATGACAGGAGCTACAGTCAGATTTGGCCACTAATTCACTTGATTACATAAAATAACTCCAGATAATTGTTGGCCCTGCTTCCTCGCACTGTAGGCAGCATGTTTTTGCTGTCTCCAGGGCACCATTGAGGGAGGAGAAAGTAGACCTACAGGACCAAGTGATTTTCCCCCAACACACACACACACACACACACACACACACACACACACACACGCCACTCCAAGTACCAGCCAGCAAGTGGTACAAGAAGAAATAAATCCAGAGCACACCAGATTTTCACAACTTGGTCTCCTTGTTGCCTTTTACTCCAGAATTTGGGGAGAGAGGAAAGGAGTATCTCTGGCTCCCCTACATACCCCAGATCTCTTCTCCCTCTCTGTTCTACTTCTGGTAGCCCTCCATCCTGAAATTTGGATAAATTGCCTGACAAGCTCACCAACTTCCTCCCCTACCTTCTCCCAACAAACAAGCAAAAATTTGAGCAGGCCTTGCTTAGAGCTTGGTCTTCAGGACCAGAATTATTTGGGAGCTTTTGGCTTAAATTAATTATTTGGGTAATCCAAACCAGTTTCTTAAATGTTTTTTTTGAGCCCCAAGGAAACAATTTTTTAAAAATTATTTACAGCCAGAGAGCCTTGTTCTAGTCTTCTCCCAGCCCTGCGGGACCTGGGAGGTTACAGGAAGAGGGGTGGTCCGAGACTCTCCCTGTGTCTTTCCTCAACACCTGGCAGGTCCATGATAAAAGTTAGGGAAAAATTAAAGTTCTTCATTATCTCCAAACATCAGGCTTTGAGGCCTACCCATGCAAGGGGGCCTCCCAGGCCTCTGGCCTCCACTTCACCCTTCTTTCCAAGTCTAAACAAACAGAGAAGCCATCCTGACAGGTCACTTTGCTGCTTCAGGATCACCAGCTCAAAATCTTTCTTCTTTTAAGGAGAATGCGTATGTTGAGGGGGCATCTTTCTTAATCCCTTATCCGAAAAGGGCCCTAAAAGGATGAAAACTCTTCATCCTACTCCGTAAATGTTCCCTGCAAATTAAGCAGGCCTACTCAGCAAAGAGAAGGGAGAAGGGAGGAGAGGGAAATAAACAAAAAGAAGGCACTGTGCCTAACTATAGAAAAGTGAGACCTTCCCCTCCCCAGCTCCACTGTAAGTACCCCCAGGAGAATATAGCCTCTGCAGACTCAGAGGGAAGGGACAGGAGAAATCAGCCCTAATCTTCCACATTTCATCTTCTGAAGATACCCTGTCCCAACCCCCTTACTGGTTCTTCTAAGGACATTGGAAAACTGGAGTTGAGAGTTAAGATTTGTGTATTTGCTTAGAGTAAACTTAGGCAACTATAGAGAAGGTGGGGTGTTACCAGGCCAGAAGGAGGAGGGGGATAAAAAGAAACCATCAGACATTGACGTAAAACTAATTCACATCCACTGGTTTATTATTGATCACGGGGCATTTCACATCGACACTAAAATTCTTTATTGCAAGTTTTACAATAATCAAGTAAATTCAGTCCAAAAACACAATAACCACAATGGGGGTGGGGGGATTCTACCTACAGACTGCCTCTCGGAACTGAAAGTTCATTTCAATTTTCTTTTGGCTCCTCAAACTGAACAGCTCTGAGAGGCTCTCCAGATGCATTTAGCTTTGTCTGCTGTCTTCCCCCCTCTCCTCCCAGCCTCCCCCCACAACAATAATACAAAAGAACTTCATAGCTTTGTTCTTCTTAAAATGACTTCCCCCTCACTAACCTCCCCTGGTGCATTTTCAATGCAAACGGCCTAAGGAAAGAGGGGGGAAGGAGGAGGAGGAGGAGAAGGAGGAGAATTGGTTTAAAAATCTTTCCTTTTTTCTTTTCCTCATTTCCCCTGAAATTCACCCAAACCAGACCATCACATCTTGCAATATATAATTTTTTCAGTTTTTTCCTTAAAAAATAAATAACCCCCCCAAATGGCCTTAAGAAAAAAAAAACCCAGCAGGTACCATGCTAAGACAACATCACATGCTTAAAAGGGTCCTTAACAGTGGAAGGGAGAGAAGGGCAGGGGACTTGTTTGTTTATCTGTTTTGTCTGTTTGGAATTGACAAGGGATAAAGTGGGAGGAAGAGAGAAAAGAACCAAAATATATATATATATATTAAATTTATAAATAAGAGTCAATTTGTGTGTGAGGGGCGGATGGGGGCATGGGGTGGGGGCAGGATGTGAGTTATGTTTTATAACCTGGTAATGTCCTCTGCCCGTTGCTGCTCCGGCGGCGTGGCGCTCTGGGAGTGGTCTTCAGAAGTGCCCGGGGTGGCTGCTGAGAGGGTGCTGGGCGCAGCGCCGGCCGGGGGCGCTGACCTGACTTTGGTGTTGGGGAGTCGGTGGTCCTTCTTCCATTTCATGCGACGGTTTTGGAACCAGATTTTGATCTGCCTCTCAGAGAGGCACAGCGAATGGGCGATCTCGATCCTTCTCCTTCGGGTCAGGTAGCGATTGTAATGAAACTCTTTCTCTAATTCCAAGACTTGCTGCCGAGTGTAGGCTGTCCTGGAGCGCTTGGGTTCCCCTCCATTATAATTGGGGTTCACTGGGGGAATGGGGAGGGGAAAAGCAAATAGTGGGGTTCAGAGGCGGCAGGTTCCCCGCCCCCCCACCCTCACCCCAACCTCAGCTCTGTAGAACAGGAGGAGGGAGTGGTGGAAATAAAGTCATCAAGCTAAATGGGTTATAAAGAAGTTGAAGGAAGCTGGAGACTTTGTAGTGTAATAAGAGGGGAATCCTCATTGTAACGACACTGAATTATTTATGCGCCCTTAGAAAGCGAGCATAGTTTTCACACATACATAACAGATCGTAGCACATGGCTCGGACTGCCCAGAGTAGCTAAGCCATAAAATTTATGGGGGATGTAATTACCCATTCTCGCTCGTAAATCCAGTTCAATTGTGCTAACCCAGAGTCGCTCCTGGAGAGAGAGGGGGAAGGAGAGAAAGGAGGACGGGGCCGGAGGGGGCCGGGG